AGATGACATGATGGAAGCTAAAAATTATTGTGAGATATTAAATTTCTAAAAGATTATATTCCATTTTAAATGATATATAAACGACTACACAGTTGACCATTATTGTTAATCTAAAATATGCAATAATATGCTCTCAGCAGCTGTAGTATTATTCATAAATTACATAGCAACACAAATAATAGATGCTAGTTAATTTTCAGTCATAGCCATGACACCCACGATGTAAACTAATATAAGAATTTATTATGTTGGATAAATTGATAAAATAAAAACACTAAAAATCTTTGGAAGAAATAATTATGCAAATATAATTCACGGCAATGCCATATTAGAAATGAAACATTTTCTAACTATAAAATAAGGATCGAATGATATGATGAAACAATTAAGATTTTATATATTTTCGCACCACCTTGGTATATTATATCTTAAAATAATAGTTGTAATAATATCAAAAATATACTTGTATTAAAAATTTAACTAATTACTGTTTTTCGAAAAAGAAAAAAATAGCTTTCCTAAAAACACGTAAAAAAAGAGAAGAAAAGATATTAAATTTACTATATCTATTGTAGGATAAATAATAAAATGTTTTATTTTTTTAAATTATTTATAATTAAATCGATGGCGTTAAATACTTGAATGCAAATTGTTATTATATTTATTATCAAAAGCATTTATATAAAATTAATTATAATATTAGTAATATATTATATAACTGTCAAATACGTCTATAAAAGTGGCATTTTATCTAATATTTTATAAACAACTGTATATAATAGAGCATTGTAAACTATATGTTTAATTTACAAAGAAATCTCTTATACTTATTTGGACCTTGAAAATTTTTTGGAATAGGCATGATAATAAAATTTAAAAATAAATATACAGTTGATTAGTCATTTTGAACTCGGCTAATTACAATATTAAATTTTTTAGTTTTCAATTAATAAATGATTATATTTATTTAATTAGTATTGTTTAAAATAATAGTCAATTATGCTTCAACTGTTAATGCTAAATTAATATTTAGTGAGTGATATTGATATATTTTTAACATAGAATTTGATCGCAATCTGACATAGTTAAAATATAATTTATATGTATTAATCTAATCTAATAATTAAAATAGTATTCATTTAATAAAAATTTAGATAATCTTATTAATTTTTAAATAATAAAATTAAATCTATATATTACTCAATAGAATTATAAAAGAAATTGTTCAGGGGCGAGCAATTAAAGAAATTTATTTTTAGTTTTAAGGAGTCATTAAAAAAATATTTTTTGCTTCAGGGGGCTATTCAAATTTTTCAGGGGGCTCGAGCCCCTGCGCTCCCCTCCTAGTGCCGCCACTGACATTGGCATAATTTTCGGTAATTGTTCCTCACTTTTTTAAAAAATTACGCTAACTTGACGTTTTAAAAACGGTTATAACTTGGTTGCGGTTAGTGATACCGATATCCGGTTTGGAGATTATTAACTTAGATATTGAGTACTAAATAATTGCCAAGTTTCAAAACAAAACTTTTTTATTTTAGGTTTTGGAAAAGTGCCAACACCTTCTTATTTTGCTCATAACTCACGAACGGTTTATTCCGCTGTTTTCCTAATAGAAGAAATAAGGATCAATTAACGGGTTACATAATGGTATAAGTTTTGGTAATTAATCCTCAAGTCGTTCTGTCAGCTTCAAAATTTCACACTTTCCTTATTTTGCTTATAACTCATTAATCATTGATCCGCTAATGTCTGATTTGAATATCAATCAGGACTCTAAATATTGGCATATATTTTAATTGATCCTCAAGTCGTTCCGCCCTTCACGGACCTGAATGTATTAAAATTATTTATTTTATTTTGGCAGAAACCGGTTCAACTTTTTTAGAAAGTTTCTTTTAACGTTTTCAAAAAATAATTATATCGGTTCAGATATTTATAAAGGTTTAGCGGTTCATTCTAGTTCACTCAGGGTCCCTGACAGTAACCCAGAATCACTACCATCTAATACTTTAAATAATCTTAAGCCCTCTATTGCAACAATTATAAATATTTTTTCTTCTTGCTTTCCACTTCCGAATTCATTTTTAATTTGATCTATATTCGGACTTTTCATAGCCATTTGTCATCATAGTCTACTGTTGAAACAACTTAAGGTTCAATTTTAAAATTTTTTTCATAATTACCTTATTGGTACTTTTTGTTTTTGCCATAAAAGGGGCGGACTGGTGACGCTACGGCCTCGTGGACATTTTTTTATAGCGACCTCATTTATATTTTGCGGGCCTTTGCCCCGCTTTTGTCCGGTCTTCGACTGGGTTCCCTGAAATGGCTTTTTCGATTTACATGATTTTTATTACTTTTTATTTTTGAAAATAAGTTCAAACGATACATAAAGAAATATATACGATAATCATATATTTTATTTAAAAAAAATGCACATCTAAAATCATATTCATTACCTATATAAAATGATATTCATTGCAACTATATATTTTTTATTGATTTACAACGATATTGCACTATAAAATCTATTCATACATAACATGTTAAATATAAAAAAATACATACTCAATATATCAAATCAATTAATTACACATATAAAATTATTGCAATTATACAATATTACAGAGAATAAAATTGCTGCACTTATAAAATCAGGCACCGATCATATTGTAAATAGATATTAATAAGATTCAAATAAAAGAATTAAGAAAATATATAATTTTTACGTTAATAAATCTCTCATTAACATTGAACCTATGCGCAAATATACAAGAATTCTTCTATTTCAACCTGCGCTAATAGTTCTCGTTCAACTGACATCATTAAAAACTCTTATGATTTTTCTTGGTTAATATTAACTTTCAGCCTATTTTTATAATTTTTAATTTATTAAATGCTTTCTAGCAATTAACCTGCGTAAATGACTAAGTTAAAATGTATTCAAAGCCAAAAATTAGTGAATGCACTTGTGTGCATATTTTATCTTTTAAAAATCTCATACACGCATATTAAACACTTGTTACATTTATTATCACACTCTGAGTTATTATTATTCCATTTTCTTCATTTGACTCCTCACTTGTACATACTATATCATCGTCCATTTCATTTAAAACTGCTACCAAATCTTTGAATACACTGGCAAATGAACATAATTCGTTACGTAATTTAACACTCAATATACATGCCAATTGTGCTAGTTTTTCCAGGGCCTTTTCAGAAATACCTTTGCTATTTATTTTATCAAAATGACTTGGATGCAAATATTTCACATTGAAAATAAGCTCTCAATTCGCAGAAAGCCGTTCTGAGTTTATAATTTCATCAATTATAGGACGAAATACTTCGAACCTATAAAAGTCAATCGATTCTTCGGGACCATCCTGGTATTTATTTATCACTATATATTCTCTTCGCTCGTCCTATTCAATTGGCAGAGCATTCTGTACCCTCATACTCTCCGGAAGCTTTAAATATGAAAATGTTTCATTTAAATTGGAAGCCATTTCATTTCTTTATTTTGAATCGATACAGATGCTAATTTTTTAGAGCCCCATTATTTCAAAATTTTTCAAATATATTATAGCTTAACCTAGAATCTTAAATTCACATAATTATCAAGTTTTTGTCTCAAATGATTTATTATCTATTATAAATTCAATGATATATATAACTATGTATAAATTGAAGTGCATTTATCGTTGAGAGCAAGCTCACTTTACCATATATCCATCTAAGGGTTTTTTCACGTGTCCATCACCTTCTCTCACCTATTTTTTGCAGCCTTCTCAACTTATTTTGGCCAGATGAATTATTCTGTTTCATCCAAGCACCCGTCCTTTTATCTGATTCACCGACCTAGATTTTAATTGATTTCAATTAATTAAGAACAAGAATGTTGGTTATATTATTTCAACAATAAATCAATATATAAAAATAAAATATAATTAATTAATCAAAACTTAGCTTTCACTCTACTCAAACGGAAGCGTTTCCACTTCATTTGAAGAAAAAAACAAATAAAAGAACATGGTAATGAAGTATAGCGTCAAGCGATGTTAAAGATATTTTATGCATTAAAATATAGTAAACGACATGACAATTCTCAAGGAATGTGATATTCAAATCATAGAGATATCATTAAAAATAAATAAATGATAAGAGAAAATAATGTGAATATAATATATTTATTTTCTAATCAGACTCTTTTTTGATATTTTCCTCTGATCGGCCTCAAAAATTGACCTTTTTTTGCAGCCTCGTGGGCAAAATGCCCACCTGGTCTTATGGCCAGTCCGCCCCTGGCCATAAATAAAATCTTAAGAAATCATGAAAATTCATAAATTGTTTCAAAAAGAGACTCTGATAGCGAATTATGCAACAGGTTTCTGATAGTTCAAAAGGAATGTTGGTTTAAAATGCCAAAACAAGTTGAGAAAATATTTCCACTATTTTTTAAATAGTATATAAAACACAATTAATTTACTACATTAAATGGACTAGTAAATTTATTCTACTAAGACTACAAGGCTTAAATCTAAAATTTTTGAAATTAACTTATTTGAATTGCGGATCCAAAATTATAACGAGTTATAGCTAGTTAACTTTAAATAGGAGTTAAAGTTCCTCAAAAATGTAAATAGTTACATTAACAGCAATATAATGGGAGGGTTTGCCCCCCTTCCCAAATACGTCAATATTATATTATAAAATTGTACATTTATAACCTTATTCACTTAAAAAATTTGAAATAAATAAGGTTGTAAATGTTGAAAATTAAAAATTGAAGCTTAAATATTTAATCAATAAAAAAGTTACATCTTTATAAATAAATAATTCTATATGTAACAGAAAGTTATTCTTGTAATGACGTTGTGTTTAAGTAACCATTATTAATAAGATTATTATATTATGCAATAATGTATAACAGATATTATTTTTTATTAATTCCAAATTCCATAAAATATATTTATAAAGGGAAAAAATTAGCGACATAAATCCAAAAAAACTGAATCACAAATTTACTGTAAATATTTATAATATAATATATAGCACAAAGAAAGTAGATAGGGGATATAAAATAAAATTGCAAATATCATAATTAATCATGTAATAATAAATATAATTATATTTATAAATCATGTCAAAAAATAAAGTTATTTTAAAATTTTACAAATTAATATATATAAAATAAACAATAATTCGTTAGGGCATCTTTTGAGCCAATCATGATGATACGGGCTATTTGAAATATCTATTAAAAGTCCCGTGACCAGTCCTGTATTCATTAGCATTTCTATTACGAACATTGTCCATTCTCTTAGCTTGTGGTGGCTGAGTGTGCCTTGGATGATTCTCGGTGTAATACGAAGTTAAATTATTACTCATTTTACTGGAGCTGTTAACGTTAAATCGTCTTTCCTCACTAAAACTTTCTGGACGCCTGTGTGTACTATACTCATCCCTATTTTCTGACAAGGAAGAAAGGTTACTAAAAGAAGATCCATACTCCTTTTCATTAAAATATAAAAAATATTAATTTGGCTCAATATTTGAGAAAAATATTCATTATTATTTTAAGTCAAATATCTCATCTTCACAAACAAAAAGTTCCGCTTTATAGGCCTTATCTAATATCTACAAAACGTTATTATATAAATAATTTGTAAATTAAAAATGTTTAAAAAAACATTGTTTCTCTAATTCAGAATAGAATATTTATTCAAAAGAAATGTTTTTATTAAAATTCTTATCTTTTCCAAAATTTAATTAGAAACAGAATGGCCTCACGCAAATATTATGTTCTTCAAACTGCTGACCTGATTATCGCGCAAAAAAGTGCCGACTTGGATTAGACTGGACTTCGACAGACCTACGTCAGAGGCCGAGCTAAGAACACCAAGGTTATGGTTCTTAAGTTTTGATAGGAAAGACAATTTGGTAGGATCGTCGCTTTTCTTTTTAGGGTATTTTAATTTTTCCAAAACGGGCGGTTTCTGAGGTATGTTTTGATGTGAAGGTGGGGGACGAGGCACATAAGAAGTTGGCCGATAAGGAAGAGGTGGGGCGTGATGAGGAGGTGTAGGGTTGTGAGGGGGTAGAGGGTGTCTCACAAGTGTAGGATAAGCATGCTCATCTGGATAAGGATGGGTGTAGGGAGGTGGAACAGGTTGAAAAGGATTATGAGCTAGAGGTGGTGGCGGATACCTAAAATCATGAGAAGGGGGTTGGATTGGAGGTGGGTATCTGTGATTATATTGAAGAAAAAAATAGATTTAACATAAAATTGCCATAGCTATTTTAATAGTACTGCTTATACATAATTTTTTCAATTTAAGAAAATTCGTCCTTGTTTTTATATATCGTCGCTTGATATTTTGTTTAATCATTTCCACTTTTGTCAAAAATGACTTTTTTATAAATTAATTATGTAAGAATATATTTATCTATTTATCAGAGTTGTTAAAGTATCTGTATCTAGAATGTAAGTATATCTAAATACTATTTTAAAGGTATATGTAATGTAATTAGATACTTTTATTTAACGCTTTTTTTACATTAAAAATAAAAATATTTTAATAGAAAATTTATTTTATTTTATAAATAATCATGCAGTGTGATACGCAGGCATGAACTCGAACCCTGATATTTGGCTGAACAAGAACCTCGAGCCATTTTTTAAATGTAGGGTTAAGGGTTAAAATTTTTTTTAAATTATAAAAAATTTGAAGAGTATTAAAAAAATAACATGTAAAATATTTATATATTAAAAAACATTTAAATATTTTCGTTAATAATGTCCCAAACATTCTAATTCTATGAGTTAAATCTCTAGGATTGTGTAACAATTTTGGCTAAAATATCGGGTGGGCTATTTTTAAAAATAAAACCGCTTAACAACACTATCTCCAATTGTAAAAAAATATCATGGTATTTTATATAATTAAATGCAGAAGAAACATTAAATATACACATATTTGAATTTTAAAAAATATTAAGGCATCCTATAAAGTTGAAAAAAAGTGACAGAATAATCTAGTTTTAAGGCGACGATAAACAGGTAAATCCTAAATGCGAAAAAATGTATATTTTAAAATATTGCTTGAAATATGTCGATGTTAAAGTTGAAAATAATTTCTCAAAAATTCATATATGGCTTAAAATTTTATAAATATTCATTTTTTAGATACCTTTCATTAAATTATTAATTTATAAAATAAGCAAGAAAGAAAATGTAAGATTAAATAAAATTCAACTTTTTAGTGTAGTAATCTAATTTTAATTATGGGCTGCAGTAATTTTAATTAACACATAATTTTAGTAGCTATTGAAATAATTTAGTTATTATTTATTGATAAACAAAGATTTATTTAGGGGTGTAATGATACAACATTTTGGAGGCTGATACGATATTAAATTGATATCGACCAGTAGCATATCCAGGATTTTCTTATGGGAGGGGGGGGGGGGGGGGGTGGATATTTTTTGGGACTTCCAAACCCCCCCCATACCTGGCCTTAGGCCTGGATCCGCTCAGCGCGTAACCAATGAGGGGGAATTTCCTCCCCCCCATTAAAAATTTGACTGTTTTTATAAATATACTTTTAAGCGAATAAAAATTTTAACCCCCCCCCCTTCCCAATCAAAATTTTGCAAATTTTGGAATATCAATTTTCCAACATAAAACTTATTTTTTATAAATAAATTTTATTAAAATTTATTTTCCTTGTGAGTACATTAACATTATTCAAAAATATTAATAAAATAGAGGAATTTTTAATCAAAGAGATTGAAATCAAAGGCAGAGGCTGCCCACCCCATTTGCGGAGATATACAGAATTATATTTTAAGCTGCGTGCCCCCATTTGTGAGTAAATAAGAAAATTATAGAACTAACTTTTTTTTGTGTAAATTCTAACATTGTTTTATTAAAACCAACCTTGTTCTTTGTAATCAAACCTGTTTTTTATAAACTCTAACATTGTTTTTTTTTAAATTAACTCTGTTTCTTGTAAATTCTAACATTGTTTTTTTAAAACTATTTAAATCTAATTTTATAATATAATATATTGTGACAAACATGAATAAGCTTAAAACAAATTCAAAAATAAAACTACAAATAATGACATACTTTTATCATCTTATCTATCAATAATACCAAAAATGGGCACCTAGCTTTAGCGGAAATTATCAAATGGTAATTTATTTTAGTATTACCCTGAATTCATAGTGAAGAGCGATTGCGATCGATCGCAGCGATTTTCATTCATTTTGCAAAGCGATTGTTAAAACAGGCACTGTTTACTACGGATACGACTTTATATTAATTCAAAATGGTAGCCATCCTCAAATTAATATTTTTTTACAGAATGATGTTGAAGAGTAGAAGATTAACCCTGAATTCATAGTGAAAAATTGTAGCGCGATTGCGATTTAGACGCGATAGATACAAAATACAGTAAATATCATATCGCATTCATAGTTATCGATCGCGCGATTTGAATCGCAAAAGCAAATCGCCGCGATTTTTTGAAAACACAAATCATTTTGTATTTATCGCGAGATTTTGAAATAGTGCTTCGTTAAATACAGATTTTGGTTAATTTAACTCAAAATTTTATTTAGCACTATATTTAAAATAAAATGAATTCAATGGCAACATTTTTCGAAGATACAATAACAAATAATAATCAAGTTAAAATTATGATTATTTAAATTTTTTTTTTTAGAAAATAGATAAATCTTTATTTATTCTTTCAGTTAAAGAGTATGAGTGCTTATATAATAAGCACCATCATTTGTATAAAAATGTTATTTATAAGAACAAGGTTTGGAGATTATTAGCCCAAGAGTATAAAACTACTGGTAATAATTATGCATACATATTATATTTATAAATTTTTTTAGGAACATCTCTCAAATCTCTTTGGAAAAATTTGAGAGATTGTTTCATTAAAGAGAGACAAAAGATAGTAAAATTGAAAAGTGGGTCAGCTGCAGACCATCATATCACCTGGCCTTTCTATCAGGATATGCTATTCTTGGTAGAAACCTTAACACCTAGGTCTCCTCTTTAGATAAAGAGGACTCTAATTCTATAGAGGTTACTAATATTTTTAATGAAATGATAGGAGAGATAGATGAATGTAAAATATATCAAATGATATAGTTATTCCTAAAGATTCTGTATCACTAAATCTTAATGATCTGGTAATTAATATTATCTAAAAACTTATATTATTTTTATTTAAGAATCTATACCCAGTGTTGCATCTAGTTCTTATTATAAAAATCCTAAGAGAAATAATAATAATATGGGTAATTTATATTTTTTGATAACTTTTAAATAGATGAATATAGGGACATAATTAAATTAGAAAAAGAAAAATCATTAATAACATTGGAATTGCTTAAAAATAAACCTACTGAATATGTATAATGTTACAACAAAAATTAAATATTTCTACCATACAGGAAAAAATGATATATCAAAGAAAATATTTGATATTATAAACGATTAATGATTAAAATTATTTTGTAAATATTTTTGTATTAGAAATATATATTTTGTTAATATTTATATTATTTGAAATAAAAATTTTGTGAAATACATTGAATGATATAATTATTCCCAAAAGTCCTGCTATAATTAAACTTTGTACTGAATTTGGTAATTAATAATGAAATATATAATATTTATAATGAATGATCTTTATCTTAGAGAAAGTTTAAGGACATTGGTAATTTTTGTTTACTTGCTTTATAAAAATATTTTAAATAGATGAATTTAGAACATCTATATAACTTTTTTAGTGACATATTCCTACAAATATATTTAATGAGTTTAGACTATAATGATAATAACTTTATTTTTATTATAATATATATGAAACACAAAACAAGATATTTATATAAAACACAAAATAAATATCTATAATATGGGATTTTTATATAAATATAAACATAATAAATTTCTATTAAACTATGCAATACTTGTTGCTGATTTTATGGATTGTGGTTTAAATAATTTTTTAGGGGGTGATTTTATTTTAGGACTAAAAGAAATATAACTTTCCTTATAAATAATTATATGTAGTAATGTGCAAGTTTTTATGATATATTCAGTTAGTGATAGTTTTGTGTCCATAGGACGATCAGGCCTTTAATTATCGGATATCTCGTGCTAGGATACAAGTCGAATGTGCATTTGGCATCTTGGGAGCTAAATGGATGATTTTTAATCGTCCTATGAACACAAAACTATCACTAACTGAATATATCATAAAAACATGCACATTACTACATAAAATAAGGAAAGTTATATTTCTTTTAACTAAAATAAAATCACCCCCTAAAAAATTATTTAAACCACAATTCATAAAATTAGCAACAAGTATTGCAAAGTTTAATAGAAATTTATTATGTTTATATTTATATAAAAATCCCATATTATAGATATTTATTTTGTATTTTATATAAATATCTTGTTTTGTATTTTATATATATTATAATAAAAATAAAGTTATTATTATTATAGTCTAAACTCATTAAATATATTTGTAGGAATATGTCACTAAAAAAGTTATATAGATGTTCTAAATTCATCTATTTAAAATATTTTTATAAAGCAAGTAAACAAAAATTACCAATGTCCTTAAACTTTCTCTAAGATAAAGATCATTCATTATAAATATTATATATTTCATTATTAATTACCAAACTCAGTACAAAGTTTAATTATAGCAGGACTTTTGGGAATAATTATATCATTCAATGTATTTCACAAAATTTTTATTTCAAATAATATAAATATTAACAAAATATATATTTCTAATACAAAAATATTTACAAAATAATTTTAATCATTAATCGTTTATAATATCAAATATTTTCTTTGATATATCATTTTTTCCTGTATGGTAGAAATATTTAATTTTTGTTGTAACATTATACATATTCAGTAGGTTTATTTTTAAGCAATTCCAATGTTATTAATGATTTTTCTTTTTCTAATTTAATTATGTCCCTATATTCATCTATTTAAAAGTTATCAAAAAATATAAATTACCCATATTATTATTATTTCTCTTAGGATTTTTATAATAAGAACTAGATGCAACACTGGGTATAGATTCTTAAATAAAAATAATATAAGTTTTTAGATAATATTAATTACCAGATCATTAAGATTTAGTGATACAGAATCTTTAGGAATAACTATATCATTTGATATATTTTACATTCAT